ATGTGCACACGGATGCCATCTGAAAGGCATGCTGTCCTCAGAAAATGGGAAACTGGCCAGGCCTGGTGGCTCATGTCTAGCAGGCAGAGATGGGGTGGATTACTTGAGCTCAGGAGTTCGAGACCAGCCTGAGTAAGAGCAAGACCCTGTCTCTACTAAAAGTAGGAAAACTAGCTGGGCATCACAGTGGGCCACCTGCAGTCCCAGCTACACAGGAAGCTGAGGCAAGTGAATCATTTCAGCCCAAGAGTTTGAGGTTGCTGTGAGCTATGACAGCAGGGCACTCTCCCCAAGGTGACAGAATAAACTCTGTCTCAAAAAAAAAAAAAGAAGAAGAAGAAGAAAACAGGAAGTTGACTCTGTCAGCATTCCACAGAATGAGTATCAAAGGGCTTGGCAGGCCACAGAGTAACTGATGATACATGGTCACATTAGAGAAATTCACCAGCAAGCCACAAGTTTCGCTTTCTTGTGTCTGTCCTTTAACCAGGTCTTAAGATTAAAAGGAGGACTCGCCCACCAAGGACGATCAAGAGCACGAAAGCTTCCTTTGCCCTTTTTTGGTTTCACTGTTTAGGAGGGAAAACATAAGCATAATTATACACATACTCATCTGCTTTTCTTGCTAGTTTTGATAAAACTATGGACTATTTTCTCTATTTTACTTACCTATCAGTTACCAAAGTACAATGATGGCTTTTATTTCATGAATGCTTTGAAGCTTAGCATTTTAGATTCTTTTATGAACCCCTGTAATAAGGAATTAAGAGAAGGCCTTCCCAATAGAATTTAGAGCTATCCTATGGCAGCACAGTCTCCAGGATTTACCCAGCTTCTAAGTTTATAAGCTGAATAGCTTGTTGGTGGATGAGTTAACAGCGTTTTATCAGCTATCGCATGAATGCCTGGGACTTTTTTCACTCAGAACTCACGCGTTTTATGCGTCCTTCATTTTATCAAAAGGAATCACAAAAACTCATCATGGAAATTTTTCCCTGGGATAAATTTCACCTTGTTCTTTTCCTTTTCCTGATTTCAATTGACAGGTAAACATGCATTTATTCCACTAGGTGGCAGCATAAAGGGCACAGATGGGAAACAGAGGGAATGATTTCTATACACTAAATCTATTTCTAGAACAACAACAACAAAAAAATCAATAAACCTCTAAGCAATATTTTTATTCTTAGCAAGCAGGTAAACTACAGACTAGAATTCGCTCAGAGAAAATGTGTTTATGTGTACTAACATTTTCTTTTCTGAATTTGAATCAATCAACTCATGTTTTATAATTACTTCAGGTACTAGTGCTAATCACAGCCTGGTCATCTCCATCCTCCAGTTAAACGCTTACTTATGCCAATCGTCCTTTCATGAAAAACACTGTGGGCTTTACTGAAAATGATCAGACCCTGCTTCCAGACTGAGGATAAAATGTTACTCTAGACAGGAGAAAGGAAGCTTAAGGAAGGGGTCTGTTCCTATCTTCAAGAACCATTATCAGTTCCTTTGTTTTAATTCTCCCTTCGATCCTGCAAAACAATTTAAATTCTATGTTGCTGTGAAGAGTACTTTATTACACAGTATTAATCAAATGACTGAACAAAATTCTAGGATGACAAGGTCAGGCTACTAAAGAGAAAATATGGGCCAGGCATGGCGGCTCATACCTACCATCTCAGCACTTTGGGAGACCGAGGCAGGAGGATCACTTAACAGCCTGAGCAACATAGCAAGACCCCATCTCCACAAAAAAATAGAAAAATTATCTATTTTACTTACCTATCAGTTAACAAAGTATAATGATGTCTTTTATTTCATGAGTGCTTTGAAGCTTAGCATTTTAGTTTCCTTTATGAACCCCTGTAATAAGGAATTAAGAGAAGGCCTTCCCAATAGAATTTAGGTTAAGTGGCACATGCCTATTGTCCTAGCTACTCAGGTGGCTGAGGCCAGGAAGATCGCTTGAGTTCAGGAGTTCCAGGCTGCAATGAGCTACAAGGAGGCCATGGCACTCCAGACTGGGGAACAGACCCTGTCTGGAGGTTTGGAGGGGAGGAAGAAAGGAAAAAAGACTTCTTATCTCATAGACTATTCCTCACACATGACAAATACATATATGTATAAGGGGGTACTAAACATGTACACTCTGCACAGAAGGACAAGACGCTTGGGTGTGATGGAAAATAAAGAAACATTCACAGAGAAAACCCCCACTTCTTTCTGGGTCAGCTGGAGATTACTTTATTATCTAAAGGCAGGATTTCAAAGGTTATTAGAATGATGGCAGGAAAGAGCTCAGTGAGCTGAGAAAAGAACTCTTCGCGTATGTTTTGGCCTAGAAGGCAGAGAAGCAC